GGTGACGGTGGCGTCATATATTGCGAGTCTTAGGCAGCACCTCGGCCGCACCGTAGACTACTGTTTGGCTGTTGTGCGTTCTCGTGGCAAGAGCAAAAAAAAGAAAGGCCCGATTGATCACGTTGAATAACACCCCCCGTGTCCTCGCCGCCTTTTTTTTTTCTTCTTCGGGTCTACTAATCTATTTTAGTTACATTGGTAGAGGAGACCGCCGCACTCGCCACCCTCAACCGCTCCTATTTCACGCATTCGCATAATCTAAAAAGCGAAGTGCTACATATATGCTTGGTCACGTTTTCATTTCTCTCTGTGGCTTTCGAAGCTAGAACAGCAGTAGGAGCACGAGCATCGCTGTTCGTTTTATTTTAGTGGTTCTGCACATGAAAGTACGCACAATCAAGAAGTGTCGTTTTCCTGAGCGTCCTCCGCACGGGGCGACACAAACCGGCGGACGACAAGAACCGCCGTTTGTGGGGTAAAATTGTTGATGGGGAGATGGCAGTGATCAAGCACATAGAATGTGTCACCGCCTCACCACAACGACCGTCCCCTGCGTCACGCCCCGCCAACAGGATGTCTTCACCAGGTACAAGGATGACCCAGGGTACTGCGTGGCGAAAAGGGTCAGGAACCAGGTGTACTACGACACTGCCAAAGACCTTGGATGTTTCGGAAGGAGTAACCAGTTGAAAGCGGGGGAGTGCATGCGCGCGGCTACCAAGGCCTTCGCTGGCGATGGTAACGACGGACTCCCGACGGAAGTATTCAAGGTCATGCTGCAGTACTGAACAGTGTGCTCGCGACGGATGCAGCGGTGCTCGCACCAGTTTTCCGTACTTTGTGCCTACCCTAGGGAGGGAGGGGGGCTTGGGGATATTTAGATGCGCGAGTGCGCCCAGGAAAGGAGCGGCGGGGAGGGGGGTCTGCTAGTGGTTCTATCTTCGGCTCTCGCGTTTTTTTTTTCTTTTTTTTTTTCGTGTGTTGCTGTCCTTCCTGTCGCGTGAGGACTCTTGGGCCGTTGGGACATGGGGTACGTGGGCGCCGTGCGTTTCGCGGCTCCTGTTATGTCGACGTTTTTGTGCGGATGAAGGGTTACTTTTTTTTGGGCAGTGGGTCTGTTTTTTTTATCGTCGGATAGACATTCCATCGTCGTAATGCCCGCGTTTCCATCGGGGTATGCATGGGGTACCATTCAATACAAGGGCAGGATTTCATGCGACCCCAGTTTGTCCCTTGCGTCCCACGAAGGGTTGTGTGTGACCATCTGTCCTTCAACGGTGATAATGAAGCACCGATTATCCAAGGGAAAACGGGAAGAAGTTAGCCTGCTGTCGTGTGTTGCACTCCTCGGGGAGGCCGCACGCCGTGGGCCGCCGCCCTGCGAGCATGGCTCCCATTTTTTTTTTTTGTTAATTACTTCATATTGTTTTTGCTTTTACTCCGGAAAAACCCTGTGTACCACGACGTGCCAATTCCGATGCACACGTACATTGGAAAAAACCACACAACATCAGCTCAACATCAGCTGCCCGGAGTGTGCAAACGAAAAATCCCTCCGAAAAATCCCTCCGGTTGGGTACCCGTCCGGAAGAAAAGAAGAAAATACACATTCCTTTNCGAAAAATCCCTCCGAAAAATCCCTCCGGTTGGGTACCCGTCCGGAAGAAAAGAAGAAAATACGCATTCCTTTAAACTGTCGGTATCTCCTTCACCGGCATCGTGCTCGCTCGAATTTTCGTCGCTGGCACCGCCGTCTTCGCTCGTACTGTCATCGCTGGTTGTCGAGGTGTGACCACCCTCTTCGCGATTTTTTTTTCTGGATCGCAAGGCAGATTTTGGGACCCTTTCGCTCGTGCTTGTTGGAGAGGAGGAAATCGCGTCTCACGCCAGCGGCCAAGCACGCTGCAC